GGCAGACTATCAAATTTCTCCATATCAGATGCACTGCGCGCCAACTGCCTTCATTGATCTGTGAGCTCGAGGAGACAATAACGCTGATGAGTGCTCTCTCGTTTTCTTTCAGTCCTAAGAGAAAACCGGATTGTTCAGTCAAGAAGCAGGATAATCCTTTAGGCCGGTGAGGATTCCAGCCTTGTCTGTGGCTTCTATAAACTGGTAAGCAAAGCTGTGAAAACAGCGTATCCAATACGATTCCTACTGCATTATCCTAAGCACCCTTAAAAACATCCACAACTTTACTTGAGGCATAAACTCCTTATCTGCTCGCCATCGAGCCATGTACATTAACGATGCGCCCAGGAGACGGTAGAGTTGTGGAAATTTCTTCGTGCAAAGACCACATTACATCGATTTCCGTTGCGTTCTCTTTATTTTGTTGACAGAATGAATTAAATGGAATATGATGAAAAAGAATTCGTACTTTGACTGCCGGACCCGATACAATCTTAAACAAACTTCATTTTAACTTAACATTTTTGAGATCGTGACTCTAAATTTAGCATATTCAAAGAAATTGTGAAGGTCTAAGCCTTCCACGTTTGACGCTACAGCAAATTGTTACTTTGCCAAGAAACAGAAACATGTTTCCAGTTCATGTCTGCTGAAGCGCGTCTTGAATTTCAATATTTTGCTTTACAGTCAACAGTATACCGCACATGAAGTGAAAACCATTAGTGTTTGTTTGATTACTTAATAGATCCATCTTAAATTAGCGTTTAACAGTTGTTACTGCTGATGAACATTTAATATGAAGGCGCGCAGAGAACCACAGAAATGCCAAATATTCCTTTTCTAATTATTTGTATTCCTGCATCTGGGTTAAAGATATCAAAACCGGTATGCAACTAGCAAGATTTCTTTTGACCTAAGGGAGCCGAAGTAAACAACGGTTCGTTAAACATTGTCTCAAATGAAAGTTGTTTATATTTGACTGACTGTAAGTCGATATGAAGGTTGAAAGTTTTGTTCTGTTCTTCTGAGCCAAGTTATGCGTGAGATAAATACCGATATCAAAAGCCTCAGCAGCCCTGCTGGGTTGTATATAATTTGAAGTCAAATCACCATGTGAAGTCGCACAAACAAAGTGACGTGAAGCGTGCAAAAAACCAATAATAAAACTTTATTAATTAAAATAATGTCATAAGAATGATGCGCACGTAATTAGGAAAGCTCATATAAGCCACATTCATCCTAGGTCTCGTAAGTCAGGCAGATTTATTGAATACCGCCTTTCGAAGAATTAGNAAAACGTGAGGTCTTCTTTTCCTTTGACACTCTTTGTTTAAAAGGGCTAGGTCAATCAATGTTAGGCAATTTCAGCTCTTGCCAACTGATAATGGAATTACCAAAAATATATATATCACAATAACGGCTTAAAACTGTGAAGAACCCGAAGGAAACAAAGGAGATTCCAAAAGGGTAGAGAAGATTGGAGGAAGAACAATGGAAAAGAAAATGTTTAAAAACAGGTTGCATTAGAGTGAACTCGAAAAACAGCGGCCCGACGTTTTTCAAGTTTATGTCAATTTGTATAAAAGTGTTATTTATAATGTTCGGCAATCATTGTTCTGTGTGATGTGGCCGAGATTTTGCCAGTAACAGACTGATGCTCAGCCAACTCATGGTAGGGAAAATAACATAATACTGTAATACAGGGACCTTTTGTTTTTTTTTTTTATTAATCCTTTATCCGTGGTCTCTAGCCCCCAGGGTAAAGACCTTTTGGATTATCTTTTTGTTTTGACCCTGAATGAAATCAAGTTCATCTCAGTTTTTACAAAAGGCGAAACTAATTAAAAAGCGAAAAATTCCATCGTGTTGTTAACAAAAATGCTGTGGTCTTGCATCGTACGTCGAGTGGTATGCAGAATATTTAATTCGAGTTACACAGGCTGCACCTGATAAGCGGGGAAATAAGAAAGAGGTGGATACCAGTGGACGGAACAGAACTAGAGGGCAATACTAGAGGGCAATTATTAATACTGAATTTAACTGTACGGCAGGTTTGTAAAAATTAGTGTCAGTAAAGATTTGTAAAGATTATACTTGCCAGAGTTTCACATCTGCCAAAATCAGAACTAATTGTTCAAACATTTGTAAAGTTTGTAAAGATTAGTGTCAGACATCCAACGATTATTAGTGTTAGTGTAAACACATTATGATTATAAGTGTGCACACAGCGAATGATATCATCAAACCATGAAATAAGCGTGAAATAAGCTTGTTACTCGGTTGATATCTTTCTTGGTCATGTGCTAACTCCAGTAATCAACTTCATCTGCTCATAGAATTGAACAGTTTATAGTACAGCTGAATTGTCATACTTGCCAGAGTTTCACATCTGCCAAAATCAGAACTAATTGTTCAAACATTGCTTGCCAGCATGATTTTTTGATACTAAAATTACTTCATACCACAGCTTCGATTGATAACGAGTGCTAGCTAGCGTATTTCAAAAACGTAATTGTTTCATATACGAAGAACACTACATGTGGCTTTGATTTTAAATGTTTACATTTATAGTGTCGTTGTAAGACTCCATACAAGTATGCTCGATGTTATAGATTTCTGGCCTTCTTATTTACAGTTCAAATTAAAAATTAACAAGATTAAAAGGGTAATAACTGTAAGTAAAACCAGTTTGTGCTAGCTTGTTGGTACAAATTCCACCAGTGTTAAGTAATCAGTTTGTGGTACGTCGCTAGGAGTCCGCCATTTTGAAAACGTGGCAAAAGTCATCGGGATCTGGTGACGAATTTTTCGCTACGGGACCATGAGAGAAATGGGATTTACCTCTTGGGTGAAAATCATAAGTGCACCAAGTCATACGTCACCCGTTTTCTAGGCAAATTTTCTTTTGTTGCTTGAGCACTATTCTGGCTTGAAAGTTAAGTACAAGAAGCTAGTAAAGTACAACAAGCACGTAAGATAAATTTGGTTCAACAACAAGTGTTCTATAACTCGTTCAACTTATAATAACATTCATCCATGAAGTATTTGTGAGGAGAGAAGTTGTAAGCACGACATAATACGTAAAAGGTATATTTGGAACTAAAAAAGTCAGAAAACTGACCAGTTCTCAGTTGGTTTGACAGCTTGACTGGTAGAGCACTGCACTGCTATCGCAAAGGTCATGGGTTCGAATTCCGTTCAAGCCTGAATTTCTTTTCAGGCGTCATTTTCAAAACGGGTTAAGTCGTGTACATAACTCATGATAACTACGATGATCAGTCATGTCTTTATATCTTTCTCCCCAAGTTCAAATTTTCAAATCTGTCAAATTCACTTGCATAATACGTAAAGTGGAGCTCTTTTGTTGAATGGCCACGCCCTCGACACCTTTTTGAAAGACAAGCGTTACTTGAAGCTTTACAATCCAACTTAGGTCTCACAAACGCGAGGGAGTCACACAACTCACCACTTGTTGTAGTTAGAGAGGCTGATCTGTTCCAACGGAATGAAGGAAATTGATAGGGATTTCTTGGAGATGACCTGCTGTTTTCACGTTGTGGAAATGACATCAATGCGGGGTTTTCACCCGTTACTATTCTGCAAAATGTATTTTGTTCTTAAACAATTCTCTTTCAGTTTTAACACGTTGGTGACAATTACGTTTCTTTTTGCAGCGGAAAATGGGGATGCAAAAGTTACTATCGATTGTCCTTGTAGTGTTATGTGGTACGACGGCAACAGCTTTAGGTAAGGGCAATGTTACCAGAGCAGCGTTGACTATGTACAAACAAAATAGGTGTTTATTTCTTTCTGCGAAACTAGCTAATTGAAAAGTTTCGTTGGCGTTATTCTTTCGAGACAAAACAAAAGATTATTGACGGTCGTGGACCTTCCAACATAAATCTTCGTATCTTTGTTTACTCCCTTGAAGTTTTCCGGGCTTCCAAGCATGCTACTCTATCAACTGTGGTAAGACCATCGCCCTGGTGCAGTCTAATAGTTCTCCGAGTATCGTGGGGGAAGGGAGGGAGGGAGGGCTTGTCTTAGTCTTGTGGCATTTGTTGCATTGCAAGGTTGAGTTCTGGATTTCCTTCTCCTCAGAAATAGACTTGCTGTCCCCAATCACGGAATCTCCCCTAAACTTCTTCGTAAGACGTATTTTGACGCCGAGCAGATCGAAAGCTTACCTCTTTGGTCGGTCAGTGAAGCTCATTCAAGCAGAAGAGGGTCTTCTTCAGAGAGTTATACTGAACATTGAATCAAACGAAGAATTCGTAATCAAATCGAGAATACGCATCATGTCATCGCGACCCGGGACATTGTTTTCTATTGCACATACTCAAAGGAAGCTGTTTCTTCTTGATTTGTCAAGCAAAGGTACAGGTGACAAGACAAGGCTGATTCTGAGATACAGATCAACTAATGACACTATGGAGACCATTGTGTTCAAAGACGTTGCGCCTCTGGGTGACACTAAGAGCTTTCACTCCGTGGTTATTCGCATTACGGATGTGTTCGAAAAAGGAAAGAAGATTTCCGCCTTGTCCTTGTTCGTGGATTGCAAATTTTTTGGTCGAGTTGATTCCTTATCGCCAATTTCGTCGATCTTCTCATACAGAGGCACTTTGCTGTCGCTGCTGGATTTCAGAATAGGACAGAGAGCGCATGGAAAGAAAGTTAATACACCGTGGATGGTAATTTACTTACATTATTAACAGATTTAATCTTTAACGGGGAAAATAAGGTTTTACTTCTTCCTTAGAAGGGTACGAATCCAGGGGACAAAGTGCATTTCAAATCTCTTCTCTGATAGTTTTCTAAACTCTAGTTGTCCGGGTTTGATCTGAGTGAGTTTGTGAGCCACTATATCAAAATACTTCTATGTATTGGCGTTAAGTGCTTTTGTTTGAGATATTTTGAAATGGCGCTTTAGATGCCTGAAGGATAGTAGTTTTCTTTACCTTTTTCTATACTTCTGTTCTTGAATTCCCTTAGTACCCTTTCATATACTTTCCTGACCCAACCTGACTTTTTGGGCACAGCGTCCCAGTATAGTCTATTCTAGAGAGTCTTCCCAATCCCGCGAGGTCGCGGGAAAATAACTGGCACCAGCATACAGCCAAATGTTTAACTGACGAACCAATGTTTTATATCTCGTAATTAACTTGGAATTTTATACCAGTATCTCTCACTGGTTCGACGCTCGTTCCCAACTTTAAGAAAGAGATGTTTATAAATTAATACCGAATTGAACACTTCACGCAAACATATCTAGCAATTAAAAACATGTTAAAGGTGGCTTTTCTAAAGGTCTCTTTGCCCTGTCAAAGTTACTATAAACGATAATGACGATGACGATGTTTTTGTTGTTGTTAATAATGATGATGATGATGATTACTACGTTTTGAGCAGTTTTGAGTGAAAACCAACTCATTTACTCACAGTGATGTGGGTCTTTATTCCCTTCAGTGATAATTTCAGTGTTTTTGATGTCTTTTTCAGGGAGCCATAGAGAGTCTGTCACTAGTCTTCAAAAGACCCATAGATGAAATTCTCGCGGATGAAGAGTGTTCCTTGGCGGGTAATCTAAGTATGATCCACGAACTTTTCAACTTGTGTATTTGTTAATAATTCCTGATGTAGATAATTAGTTTTGACGAGTAATTGCAAACTGTCCGGCCACTCCTTCCGGTGTTCTAAAATACGGCTTTGTTTCATGTCCATGACTGATTGCGAACTCAAAGAGAAGAGAGTCTGATGGGGTTGAACTGATAACTGAGAACTGGCCAAAATTTTAACTGCAAGCACAGATCCGAAACCTGAAACATTTGCTGAGATTTGAGACATAGGATGGTTAAGTTATCACTGTAAATTTTAATGATAACTGAGTTTCCCCCTGCCAGACCTAATTTGCGTGGTCAAAAATAGGAGAAAGCGTTCTTATTTACATTGCCGTTGTTTTTCCTCTTACAAGTAGGCAAAAAAGCTCCCCGGCCTCCAGTTGAGTCTACCCTACTTAGACAAGAAGATATAGAGACCCTGGTTGGCCTGATACGGGATATTCGATACGACTTGTCTATGCAGGTAAGACCTTATGCGTCCAATGCAACCAATAATGATGATGATGATGATGATGATGATGATGATGATGATGATGATACAGGTAATGTTCCCCAAGTGTTGCCTTCAATGCATCGAACCACTTTCATTCGTTTAATATCCGCTCCTTCTCCCTCCATGCAATAAGAGACGAATGACTCAATGATCGATGTTCCCAGCTCTGAAACAATAGGCCTAAAACCGTACGGCTGTAGAGAAAGCACAAATTGATTCAATTTCAAAGTATGATGAAGGGTAGCAGCTTTTTTGCCATCAAGAAAAAAGTTAATAACTTATCTCTGCATTGACTGATGTTCCCTTTTTTTTTAACCAAGGTTGCTGAGATCAAGTATTTGAGAAGACTTGTGGAAAATTGCCAGATGTGTCGAGGTATTAAATGAACGTACATAACGAAAGAAGTGCAATATATGTTTATTGTAAAGTAACAAAATCAAACTTAAATTCAATCCCTGTCTCTCTTTCATATTAAGGGGACGTTTCTTTTTCCTCTTTATCTATGAATTTCATGCTTTTCAATGCTTTTTGCCGTGTAGATTACGTTTTTTTCTTAATCTTGCAGTCTTACTTGAAATGGCGCTTTAGATGCCTGAAGGATAGTAGTTTTCTTTACCTTTTTCTATACTTCTGTTCTTGAATTCCCTTAGTACCCTTTCATATACTTTCCTGACCCAACCTGACTTTTTGGGCACAGCGTCCCAGTATAGTCTATTCTAGAGAGTCTTCCCAATCCCGCGAGGTCGCGGGAAAATAACTGGCACCAGCATACAGCCAACCATACTCTCAATCACTAACTTAAAAATTAAAATTAGCACTGTCGACCATACAGTAATTCATTTTCTTAACATCTCGCCTATTATATTCTTTCTTAAAGTTCAAGATTTCTGTCGCTTCAAGCCGTGTTTTCCTGGAGTGCCTTGTTTTAATGATCCAGCCACAGAAAAAGGATTTGAATGCGGAGAATGTCCGCTTGGAATGCTGGGAGATGGTATTAACTGTACCGACGTTGACGAGGTAACGAAGAAATTCGCACGTTAATTAAACACATTGGCCGCGTTACGATATAGGATGAGGCTAGTTCAGGAACTAGCTTCACTTCGAAATAAGCTAACAATAGTGTCTGCTTGTGTACGTCAGACTTTGTGCGTAATACGTTTTCTCCTGGAAGTAAGCGAGGCATTTGACTCGATAGTGTCCCTTTTGGCACATGCTTTAAATACTGATTTGATGGAGAACTTTTCACACTATACCTGGTGGCCCTCACGCTATTTTCTAGTTTAAACGTTACCTTGTAGCGGACCAAAGAAAAAACGACATGGTATTTGTTTATCTTTCGTTTTAAGTGTAATGAAACTGATCCTTGTGCCAAAGATGTTGGTGTTCTGTGTCACAATCGAAGTCCCGGATATTGGTGTCCACCTTGCCCAGATGGCTACTCGGGCAAAGAGATTCATGGGATTGGGTTGTACTTTGCAAGTAAAAACAAACAGGTAAGGCGAACTTGGAGTGTTTTTAACGAGAAATTGTGTTTCGTATGTTATTCAAGTTGTGCTCATGCGGCGCTGTTTTCTTTTTTCAGATCTGCACAGATATTGATGAATGCTCAGAAGACCCTCCCAAATGTGCGACAGAATCTAAATGCATTAACACGATGGTGTGTATTTTAGAAAATGGCTCAGGCGGTAACCTGCCTGTATATGTCTTTGTGTCTCTCTTTATTTGTGTCTGTCTGTGTTTCCGTCTGCCAGCCAACCAGTCCGGCAGTCAGTCTGTCAGTCAGTTATTTAGTCTGTCTGTCTGTCTGTTCTGTCTGTTCCGTCTGTTCTGTCTGTTTGTCTGTCCGTCAGTCAGCCAGTCATTCATCTAGCCAGCCAGCCAGCCAGCCATCCCGTCAGTGTCAGTCAGTCAGACACACTTTCGAACAATGTCTAATTCTTACCCAAATGCAAGATATGTCCATAAACCATTAGAATTACCAACCATCCTGCCCCACGTGTTATTTTACAGGGAGGATACAAGTGCGCACCTTGTCCTTCAGGATTTACAGGAGATCCTTACCACACCTGTTATCATTTAAGTTACTGCGATCCAAGCGATTCCAGAAGTAATCCTTGCAGTCAACATGCTAGATGCATTCGACTTCAAAGCGGCAGAGATTACAAGTGTGAGGTAGTTTAATGTTATTTGTTTTCGCAGAACTTAATTTTCGCGATTTTCTCGACAGCAAAAGAAAAGAAAAAGATTGAGTCGTTTGTCTTCATCCTGCTCAGGATCTCAGTCACGGTATTTTCAGTTATTTTGGCCATATACAAAATTACCTTGAAATTAAAGGAAACCTGAAAAAAGTACTTTACTAAGATAGAAAAATACCTAAGAAACTTGATTGGAGCAAGAGATGTTTGTCATTAGCTTGTTATGCCTGTTTGATTTTTCAGTGTCGTATCGGTTTTTCTGGAAATGGCCATCTTTGTGCCGAAGACTTAGATTTGGATGGCTTTCCTGACGTTGAGCTGAATTGTACCGAAAAAGAATGTCGCAAGGTAAAGTATGAGAAGAAAGGTTGCGAATGACAGAACACCAATTTTCTTCTGCTCGAAAAGACAAAATAATTTAAATTGAGACTTGTCATGGAGCTAAGTTCTCATGCTGATCCAATTTTAACGAATTAACATCTAAATAAAACGAGACTTAACATTTCAACGAGACATTCACGCAACGATGCTGCGAAGACTTGGGAACATTAATTGCATTCTAAACAATAAGTATGTGATTATGTTGGTGCTCCAAAATCAAATTAAACTACGCGATGTGTAACACCAACAAATGTCCGTACACTGATTCAGTTGGCTTCTAAAGGCATGTCAAGGAGGCTTTGTGTATCAGCAATGTTCGTCTCACGTCACTAAGGAATTATCTTTTCTGTTTTACAGGATAACTGCCTGAGAATACCCAATCCCGGTCAAGAGGATCTGGACGATGACGGACTGGGAGACATTTGCGATGACGACTTGGATGGCGACAGCATAAAGAATGACATGGTAAGAGTACGGTGAATATAACAAGGATCACTTAGCTTTCCTTTCGTACTTTATAGCTTGTCTTACCCCCTGGTTATCATTTAGGGAGATAGACTGGTAGCAGCAACCTAATACAAGCTAAAACAGGAGAACTCCTCTTTCCCTTCAATGCAACTGCGTTGCATGTACCTCACTGATTCGACCAGAACTTTGACGGTGACTAGATTCCATTGCATACAGCCGTTTGACTGATTTCCTCCCTATTTTTTCATAGGACAACTGTCCCCGCCATTTCAACCCAGCCCAATACAACAACGATGGTGATCTATATGGTAACGATTGTGACAACTGCCCTTACGTCGCCAACAAGTTTCAGAGTGATAATGATAAAGACGGAATCGGTGACCCATGTGATAAGGACGTCGATGGAGACGGTAAGATGAGGGACTGGGGCTTAGTTGGGAAGCTAGACAGAAAAAAGACTTGCGTTATTTTGGAAAGGAAAAAGGTTGAAAGTTTTACGCGATTTATGAATTAGGCATAAAAAGCTTTTTCTATCGCAGAGAAACAGTGTGGAATACACTGCCCAAGGAGTGTAGAACATGTGCAAGCTATAAGTCTTTTAAAAGATCGAACAAACAGTTATGTATATTGGTCTTCAATATTTTATTACAAGTCAAGATATTCACCATGCTAAGCGGTAATGGTAATTTTTCTCTGTACTGATGTGTCTTCGTATTTGAATAGTATCACCTCATAGTTGTATTGTTTTGGATTGGATCGCAAGGAGCGTCTACTAATGTTCTAACCGATTATGAAGTCCCTTTGCTATTTATGACAACGCCGAGTTTTAATTAAATGACCTTATTCTTCTTGTAATATCATACAGGTGTACTAAACTCAATCGACAATTGTCCTATGATATCAAACCCACTCCAGGTCGATTCCGATGGCGATACAGTGGGTGATGAGTGTGATAACTGTCCTTCCACAATGAACATCCGACAGGTAAATAACACAGTGCTCATAAATGGCTATATTCATTTGGGGTCATTGCAGTGTAGCACCTTCGTCCTTCCCCCGTCCTGGAAACACTCCTTGACAAAGAACAGGACTTCGGGGACAAATCTCATATGAAAAGGTCGGAGATGCTTGTCAGAAAACTTGAATTAAACCCCTAAAGGAGATGAATCTGGGCGTGGCTCTAGCGTTATTTCACACCTTAAAGATAGCACTTTATACGGAGTACGCGTGATTACCAGCCGCTATTCAGAAAAGGAGTCCTGCCTAGTAGACCGAACTCGCGAGAGCGGCAAAAATCTGGCCTAAAGACGGAAAAAGGAGCGTTTTTTTTATATTGTTATCTCTTCTAGTGCTTCCTAAAAATACTTTGACAGCTAAAAATAGGTGAGTTTCGTCCTGGACACCATAGGTGAGACCAGAATACTTGACTTACACCCCTAATGGAGACGACGAACATCCCCGACCTTTTCAGGTGGGAGTCGCCCTCTCCCCTCCGGGAACAGGACTCACAAGTTGACCGACTCACCGGCTATTGGTTTTAGTCTGATAGGGACGGAGATGGACTGGGCGATAACTGCGACACCAATAGAGATGACGATAATGACGGTGTAGATGACATGATCGATAATTGTAGAGGAATTCCAAATCCTGATCAGATTGATAACGACAAAGATGAAAAAGGTAAGCAGCTGCATGTTCACACGACCGATATAAACCATCGTCATTCCCTGTTCGTGGGGAAAGACTGTGAGACAACTCTGTTTAATAAACTTAAACCAGTGAAGAGGGTCTTAATTGCCTGGGTACTATGTTTCATTCCAGGTGATGCTTGTGATAACGACGACGACGATGACGGTGTTCTGGATAGGGAAGACAACTGCCAACTAGTTCCGAATCCTACTCAACGAGATTTAAACGGTTAGTACAATTTTTATGTTCTCGAGAATAAATACTTTGTATTATGTTTTGATGTCTCTATTCGCCCAGAGGAGAGCTAGGAATTACGAAGATGATGTTTTGAAGACTTGAGAAGTTGTTGACATTAAAAGCTTAAATCTTTGAATTATGACACCATTGTTAACAGAGGACAATGGTTATGAAACTCGTCAAAGTTCCTTGTTGTATGTTTTTGTTCTCTTTTTTGGCCTTGACCGTGCACAAAACACAATAGTTTACTCCGTACTGAGGAACTAACCAATAGAAACGTGTTGGTTACGTAATTCATGCATAGTGTATGAGCGCAAAACAAAAGAATGTGCACGGTCGTAGACCTTCCAACATAAATCTTGGCATCTTTGTTTGCTCCTTTGATGTTTGCCGGGCTTCATAACCAGTCCCCTGTATTAACTATGATGGCACATAAAACAACTTGCCCTCCTCTACTCTCCACAGGTAATGGCTTAGGGGACCCCTGTGATGGCGATTTTGATGGAGACAAGGTCACAGATTACGAGGATGCCTGTTCGATTAACCATCACGTGACCCGTACAGACTTCAGCAGGTTGCAGACTGTCGATTTGAGTCCATTTGAATCCTCGTCAAAGATCAAGCCCCCTATATGGGCTGTTGACTCAACGGTAAGAATTACTTAATGACAAGATGTAATTCTTTAATCGACGATATCGATGCCTGTATGGGCCTTGAACCCATTACCCCAAGATTTCCATCTCCCAGAGCCTTAAAGTTTAGCAACCCTAGCGTGGAGCCTGGGAGCAAAAACTAGACCCTACCTTCTCGCCCCGGATCACACATAGAGCTCGTCACCCGTCAGTAATATAAATTAACTCATCAAATTCATATTAATCCTGAAGATGAATTATACGACTGTCCTTTGATCGCTCTCTCGTGAACTCTGTTATTCAATTAGGTCCTGTTTAGCAATATCTGTTGCTAAATCACAACATGAAAAACAAGCGAGTAAAATACAATAGTTCTAAAAGCAAAAAGAGCATTAAACAATGTTAATCTGACAATGAAAATCAAAATGAAAGTGAAAAATATGTTTCCTGTTTAATTTTTTTTTCACTCACCATGCATGGACGTCTTGGTCTTTTAAAGGTTGGACGGAAAGGCGTAGAGGCGGTGTCGAGGATTGCACAACAATCTTCAGAACATGAATTCTGGAACATTTCTTACCCTTTCAGAAGTTGCAAGACATGAGAATTTTGTTCATTTATTCAATGTTCAGTATTTGTTCGTTTGCAGGGAACACAAGTCACAGAAGACGAAAACAGCGATCCCGGAATTGCTATTGGTAAGTAAAACTATAGCTTTACAATTTACTATTTCTTTATCCATTCACATAAACTTTCCAGGGGTTCACCAAAACGTTGTTATATTGCAGGAGATGTTGCGTTCAACGGTGTGGATTTTAATGGAACACTTCGAGTGGGAACACGACACGATGATGACTTCGTAGGACTCGTGTTCAGTTACCAAAACAACAGACAGTTCTACCTTATATCTTGGAAACAGAGTGACCAGGGTTACTGGGAAATGAAACCGTCCAGAGCTGAGGCAGTTCGAGGAATACAAATAAAGGTAATTCTAACCAGGTAAAAGTCTGCGTCAGGCCAAACGGCTCATCATGCACATCGGAGCTTATCCCAGTTTTTTGCTTCTCTTTCTTTCAGCTGGTCGATTCTGAAACTGGTCCAGGATTTGATCTTAGAAATGCATTGTGGCATTCCGGTGACGTAAAAGGACAGGCGAGTGGCAACTGGCTGGCTTATTCTTTCTCTCGCTAACACTTCAAACTCCACTAAGCACTATCTTGATTACTAACGATCTAAAAATTCGACACCCATTTTGCAGAACTTACCATTGTGTGACATTGGGCTTGAAAACTAATGGCGTATTACGTTTTTAATCTATTATGTTGTTGCCTGTCTCCCACCCCGCCTAAAGAAAAAATACATGTTTTATTGAGCAGCATGATAACAGCACATCACAAAACGTATTTTTGTTAATATTGCCTATAACCTCACTTCATCCCTCTCACCACTCTTCGGATATGAGTCTCAAACAAACCCTACTGTGAAAAAAGATGTATAAGACCAGGGCTCGCAACCGCATTTATCACGGTATACAAAACAAAAATAAATTGCTATTATCACTATTAAGGACTCGCCTATGTTTCTCGTGAACACAATAGAAGTACATAAACAATTTTTTCTAAATGGTGATTACATCCTCACCTTCCTTGGCCAGTTTGAAAGCGTTGAATCGTAGAAAAAGTAGTTTTAACTAATTGATATTATATTCAGGTTAAAGAAATTTGGCGAGACACCAAGCTCCAAGGATGGAAAGACGAAACAGATTACGACTTTAAGTTGATGCACAGACCTGCTGTTGGACTAATAAGGTAAAATAAATCTCTGTTTTTGGTCTAATGTCCCTCATTCAGTAAAAATGACTGACGACAAGAAAGGAAGTCAAAGGAAGAGGAAGTGAGGAAGGGAAACACGAGCAAATGGCGTTATGATTCGTAAGCTGCCTGCTTTGTATAGGCACACTGTTTAACCAATGACAGTGCTTGATATATTGGCACTCATTATCAATACCTGAGAAAAGAGTATTCCAGAGTAAAAAAAATTTAACTTTTCAGTGCTCATATTCCTTTGAAAGTTTTGCCAAGCGCTCAAAATTCATTGTTACTCTTTTATTCGAACTGACAGAACAAGTCCCTAGCGTGTTGTTCTCACAAACTCACAATTGTTAAATTACATTTATCAGCATTTTTTTTTAGATTGCTAGTCTTCTCTGAGGCTGAGATAGTGGTGGATACAGGATATATAATTGACAAGACCCTGAGAGGCGGTAGGCTTGGGATGTACGTGTTTTCTCAGGGTAAAGTCATCTGGCATAAGTTGTCCTACCGATGTAGCGGTAAGTGCTTTTTGAAAATATTCACTTGATCTGCTATTAGACTTATATTGTTTCTTGTGCTAACACTTGGATTACACGCTTTTTGTTGGTCTCGTTGCTTCCCTTGTGCTTCATAACAGAAAAAAGTGAGACTCATAATTTGCGATAGTTCCAGCCATTATTTCTTTTTATGTTATACCCGACAAAAGTCTGATTGTGCGAGAGTAGTGCAATAAGTCCCATGTTGCAACTAATACCTTGATGTTATTCACGGTGATCCACTGACATGTGGCGTCTATTGCCTTGACGGATCACGTGGTTTAGCGAAAGAAGAGTTTACTAACGAGAAACTCTCTCTTTCTCAACAGAGCACGTCCCGGATGACTTTCAAGCTCTGTAATCTGAGAACCAGTCAGCGAAAGCTGATCTGTAGCGCTTCATTGTGGAGCATACCAAACACAGCTTCCCGTCCCGACTTAGGACTTCGAGCCTGAACACTGTGTACAATTTATTACTTTCCACACAGGATGGTGGAAATATCAATGGCCCGAATACCGGAGGCATTATTAACTGATAACAATTTGTTAAAGATAACGCATGCTTTTCTTGCTCAACGCAAAATCTAAACGCTGCAACTGCAGCCTAGGGGTGTATAGAGCCCCATGTTAGACTTTTAAATGCTGTACGTTCCGCGGCACGGTATAATACGAGACAAAATCTCGAAAGCATAACCCTGGATTGATGGGAATATCTATCCGTGGCTGTTGTTAGAAATAATAAATAAATAATTAATGACGATCGCCAGTTACCTTCCAAGCCGTGTGAAGACTGCGCAACTTGGGTATGCCAGTGTCTTGTAACCAGCAAACAGACAAAGAAACAAAGGAGTTGACCTCAACAAGTTCATCGCAAGTTTGGGTCACCTGTGGCAACTCTTGCCGGGGTAACACTTCTTCAATTTCGGCTCGTTTTGTTCCCATTGGTGGCATTGAATTGAGTGCTTTAAGGAATCTAGAAATGTTATGTTTTTATCATAAATATTCACTACATATTATTATTAAATGTTAAATTTTAGACTGCGTTCTAAGCAGTCACAAGCAAACAATTTACAAAATATCCCTTCAGTTAATTATGTTAATGCATGTCTGACTGTGAAAAGGGTCAATTCTGTTAATGCATGTCTGACTGTGAAAAGGGCCAATGAATTGGAAACACGGGCAACGATTTTACACCTTCTATGCCGCCTCATGACACAGATTGGATAGTACGTGCACTGCCATTGGCTAGAATTGTTTATTGTGTGTATAAAAGAATACGATAGGGTAAACAAGTGAAACGAAAACCGTGAATTATTGTAAAATACTTTCGTTAGTCACGAGTACTTGACAATCAATCGTGCTCTGCTCGTGAGTTTTGCATTTCATTCGTGTTCGGCTTCCGTACTTTTGCCAGATAAACATGCAACAAGTTTGTTATCGACTGTCTCGTATATTTCGTACTTCAAATTATGTGAATACCGTGATTTAGCGAGGAGAAATCCCGGAGTTGTACTGCTAAAGATCCGGGAGATAAAGGATATAGCTTATACAGAAGAGATTAGTGAAACACAAATACGACTGTGTGTGTGTGTGTGAGGGGGTGGGGGGGGGGGGTGGGAAGTGGGGAAAGTGAGGATTGGCCGTATAACGAGGTCATTTCGCATGAAACGCTCGGGGAATTGAGGAAGGTGGGATTGAAGCTGTGTGCGGTGGGATATTAGTTACCCGTAGGAGTTTCGCCCTGTTAATAGAATTCACAGAAGTGAAGTCAGTTCTTGTTTCATCGGAGGTAAAGTAATGTACTATGGAATGTTCTGGATAACATTGATCATTCACTCGCATGGAAGATATTACAACTTTAAGGGAGCTCTGTGGTCTTTTTAGATTCAATCTATTATTGTTTCTTTTAAATCGAGAGGAACATGCGAAACTTGACATACAATTTGACAACAGTAAACCTGATATTCCCCAGTTTGTCCGTATTGAAGCCTCACTTCTTAATGCTCAGTGAATAGTTTCTTATCTATTAATCCAAAACATTTATAATTAAAATAGTTACACAAGTGTAACTGTTAAAACACCTCTTCATAACATATTTCTTCATTATAGGAGAGCATCTCAGTAAGGTCAAAGGCCCATTTATTTTTACGTTATTGTAAACATACATTAAAATATGAATTTTGAATGATCTGCTGGGCAGTATAACTCGTTTGTTTTCAGCAAAACTACTGATTTTCCCTTCACTACACAATCGAACACGCTCAAAGGTTGAGGCATGGCCGCGTTGGTCAGCCAGGCCCAAGATATGTTTTAATTGTGACAATAAGCTTACAGCAAAGTGGTTAAGGGACACATCAAATAACGTCCTACATGCCCCAAAGCCGGGCACGTAAACCCCAAAAACCTCTTGCCCGTGACCGTCCTCCTCCGACCAAATGCAGTGGCACCACCTTTGGGGTTTTAAGGTTGATATATAACGCTAATTACATAATGAAAATAAACCTTATGCGAAAGTGCTAGTGGCAAGGCTGACCGTAAAACGTCACAAGGTTTTCAACCGTCTCTTTTTACAAACGTACTACCCATGAACCTTCGCGGACTACGTTCGCACCCAGTTCTCTGTTCCGTGTCGGCAAAATATTAATTTTTGTCAATTCTCTATTTTCCAATTGCCCATAATGCACTCTGTTTGCCCCCCAAATTTTGCATAAACTATTGTTGTGAAATGCTCTTTGGAATATGCAGACCTCCCAAGAGTATTTCACAACAATAGTTTATGCAAAATTTGGGGGGCAAACAGAGTGCATAATGGGCAATTGGAAAATAGAGAATACCGATTATCACAAATTACATCACGAAGTAGGTCGTACTCTGCAAGGAGTGGTTTAATTTTATGATAACGCTGTTTGGAGATCACAAAACGATTCGAATTTGTAAATAAACATTTCGTCCAAATAAAGTATAAAATAAAGTATATACTGAACACCACTTAACATGATGCCTATATTCTCACGGCCTCGGTCCCACGATTTCTAGCTACTGTTCGAGTGTTCAGACTAGGTAAACCAAATCAAACATTCAACCTTAAACGCAACAATATCTGTACTGAGATTGTTTGGGTAATGAACGCAGTTCTTAAAATTCTTCAGAACCTACTTTCTTTTACCAACAAAAGGTGTTCGCTACACAGGAAGTTTGACCATACCTTTCGTTGTACTTCTACTGTTATTTTCACGCAGACAATTCATTCTGTATACCATTTAAGTCTGTTCTTTTTATTGCAATTCGTGAACGAGTATCTTACAGAGCGACTCGTACAATTCCATACTATCTCGTTAACGAATTTTAACATAATTTGCAGATTTCATTACAGCCCTAAGGGCACTAGAGTAGGTTTCTTTTTTTACCCCCAATAGGTGTTTGTACCCCAATGTGCGGATTTACAACGTCACGAGTAAATGAAGAGACATTTAATTCATACATGTAACTTTGCATTCTGAGAGGCTACATCTCCCTAACGGGTCACCAAAAACACAGGCACATCTACATGAGATCAAGCATCACTGTCTATACACTGCACACATGCGCATTGTGCACGTATTTCTCCTTAAAACCCATACTTTGACTGAGTCTGTCTGCGAGTCTGCCGGTTGGCTGACCACTGTTGACGAAGTTCCAGCTCCCGTTCTTTAGCCTGCGGTGTAAAATAAAAGAAAGTCAGATCTTTTGGCTGGACTCAGTTCTACTCGGTATAACTTATTTCTTTTATAAGGCTCATTTGTCGTATTCATTATACACCTAATTCCTGGGTGGAAATGCAACTTACCTGAAAAGCCAAATAAGTGATCTGATGCTTTCTTCTTTGCTGATTGGTTGGCATGTCTTTCTTTTTCTGTACATGGACAAGCAAGTACGAGAAGAAATAATGGTATATCCAACTTTGTTAATATTACATAACTGTAGATTGTCTAAAGAACATGTAAGTTGAAATAACAATTTTACGCAAATTTATTAACCACTTTTCGAGGACTTGGCCATTTCATTGTCTTGTAAATCAAACTCATTTTCACATGAAAGGTTTTGCGCGAGGCCTCGTTTTGAAACAGAGGCACATGGTAACTCGGAAATGCCTATCAGGATTTTATGGGAAACGTGGTCATGTGACCTCGCTTGAACTCCACATGCCAGCAGGATCCAAAAGGACTACTGTTTAGCAGAGATGCAGCATGTGACCAGCAATCATCAACGATGAGCTCAATGATGCGACAGAAGAATTTTTGGCGAGTTCTGACTTCAAAATATTATAAGACGGAAAGCGAATTTCAAAATCTCCTTTACCCTTGAAGGTGCGTATGCAATTTCTTCTGTTCCATATTTAGCCAACATCGCCGCTGAGTCTCCGACCTGGTCAGCAGCATTAACATCAACAATGTTAATCTCCTCGCGACGATTCCTTCTTCCCTGGAGTTTATGTAACTGAGGTAAAAGAAAAGAAAGCAACTTTATGTATTAGCAGACGTCCCTTGCACTTGTCACGCAATCTTCCTTCCTCAAGTACGGGAGGAACGCGTGACCAGCCCAAAGAGCGTCCGTGTAAGAGGATACATGTACCTTACAGTTTGGTCTGACTGGCGTACAAAAGTTTAATTGTTCCACAGTAAAATTATTTCCTTCCATGCACTGTACAATACTTTACATGTACATAATGACATGAAATTTCGCCCTACCCCATTAATAAGGCCACTCTTTTAATACGGCCAAATTTTCAAGGCCTGTTGGTGATCGTATTAACACAGTTACACTGTAGAGCTCTACAGGATGTTCCTACATGTAATTCATGAGCATATTTAAGTTTAGTGGCTGTTATGGTCATGGTTTTAAACTGACAAACCACAGATTTGCTCATTCAACCTGCAATCTGGGGAGGGGCGGAGGGGGGGGGGGACTCCCATGTCAAAAAGACGGAGGTGTAAGTCCGAAATTTTGAAAAGAACCCCCCCTAAAAAAACACATTAACTGACAATTTCGTAAATTTTAATAGTGATAAAAAGAAATGACTTGTTTTGAATACCTTCTAACCATATTTAGTTGATTGTCAAATATCTCCTGTCATATTTTTTCTGCTCAATACCCTTTAAGGTACCACGAAAGCTTCCACTGTGGACCTTTTGAGGCTGAGCAATTTAACGTGTACAAAAAGTGCTTTTTTTAACCCCCCAAAGGGACCGATGAGCACCATGTCATCCTTTTGTTATCAGAGTCCCCTGCCTGGGACTGCTTAATGCTTGACTGTTAAGAATGCTGTATATACAATATGTGTACATAAGTACCATTGACAGGAGCTAGTAATCACCTTCTCTAAATCAAGGTCTGTTTCCTCCTGTTGTCCTTGAGCTTGTGCCACTGCTGATGCCCCTGTAGGGTAGGTGTAGGTGTAAGTTTCAGTCTCTTGGCTGTAATAAGGTTGATTGACAAAAGAGCTGCCAGCATCATAGCTATAACTTGCCTGAAGAAAACAAAAAAGATGGCAGATGCAAATGTACATGACTTCAATATAGTGTTCTCACTTTTGTAACCTTACATCTGTAATAAAATCATTCAGATGGTGATGCTAAGAAGTAGTAGCATATATTCAGTGTGTACAGTTCTCAACAGATGCATTTCTGATACATGACAAGACAATAAACTCGTAGGTGTGACACACTCTATACACACCTACTGTAGCCATAATACCTGCAAAAATTATGTTGGCTGTCCAAAAGGTCTTAAACTAAACAAGAATTCTTAAGTGTCAATGTATGCTATATTTTTCACTGGCATCCACACTTTCTAAAGGATTTTTTTTACACTGCTTCATAAATTGTTAGCCATGGCCAAACTATAGTAGTAGCAAATTTTGAACACCCACTTCACATTCTGACTAAAAACGTTGCTGGTATGCTAATTGCAAACAAATGCATATTCCAAATAGGATATTGGCTATTTACAAAACATTAATGAGCACTGTGGACAACAGATGCAAGTACTGCTTGAGAGAAGGATTTGAACAGGGTATCCAAGATTTCCTTATTCACTTCTCCATGCCACCTTCACAATCTACAACTGGGGTCGCACATGCTCAATGCATTTAGTGCATTTAGATACATGTATTATGCTATTAGCCATTTTGAACTCGATGAAACCAAATCACTTCATGATCTCGGTCACCAAAAAGCTAGTTACTCTTAGCTTACATCTCTAGATCTTTGGAGGATTGATGCACTCACATAATTTTCATTGGAATATCCTCCATACTGCTGGTTCTGCCCACTTTGTTGTTCATAGTAGTATGTCCTAGTTTCTAATTCCTGTCGGCTTGGATTCTCCCCACTTCCAACACCAGCCTGGGTAATAGGTTCAACTATTTCTGGGGATGGTGTTACAGTCACATGCTTGCCACTACTATGGGAAGTGCTTGTACTTGGTGACATCTCGCCATGTGAAGAGGATGCTACCGAAGGATGTTTACTTTCTACCAATGGAGCTATGAAACTTCTGTTTGACTCAGAAATATGACTTTGGGAAGCATTGTCTTTTTCATCAATGGCACTCTCAGATTTGTCATTAAATGTAAAAAAGCTGACAGGTTCATCTTCATCATCACTTGTAGCTTCTTCAACCTGCTTGGGTTTTGATGTTTTATGAGGTTTTTTCTCTACAGTGGTTGGCTTTTTTGTCAACGTGTGTGGAATCAATGGCCTGCTTGCCAGTTTGACTGAAGGTTTGTTTGGGTTGTCCGATTTCAGTGTGATGCTGTGCTTTGGTTTGGGAAGAAGGGCTTTGAGACCTGATCCTCCCTAAGACAAATCAAAACCCAAAGTGAAAAAATATGTAATATGTTGATCTCAAATACTGTTCATTCAACTCTAACAAGACTTACCTTCGATGGTGCAAGTGTCTTTGCTGCTGGCATATCATCTTCTTCATCAGAATCAGTCTGAAAAAAATCACAAGAAAACAGAGAGATGATTTCTATAGCAATGCTCTTAACAGTCTTTATGGTCCTTGTGGTACACACACTAACAGTGATATATCTGTTCACTACCTGTATATATATGTACACAAAAGTTGAGACACTTATAAATGGCTTGCAATGTGTGTTTACATCACCTATTGCAAACATAAGTGAGCACTTGAGAGAAATAGAAAGTTCATGTCAATCTGAGCCTTGCATAAGTACTTTGAAATATCAGAAATTCCAAGAAATCATAATGGTCACAGGGTCAGTACTTGGGATTCAGGATGGAGGGGCTAAGATATGTGCCTTGATCAAGGTCTTGGAGGAGACACTTACATGTACATGTAACTAGCACAGTGCCTCTCTCCACCCAGGAGCACTTTTATAACTTGGTACCAAAGAAATGATGGCAACCTGACAAAACTTTGGCAACAGTTCCTTCCCAGGGAAGTAGAAGTGAACCTTTGGTTACCACCACCTCTCCTCAGCGACCAGTTTTCCTTATTTTAAAACTTAGTTTTGTAAACTTTAATTCTAGGTATGAGTATCAAAAAAGTTGTCGTTGTGGTTGTTGTTTCCAAAATACCAAAAGTTTCCAAGTCAAATCACTGTATTTGGAACTGTAAGTGACACTGACCACTTTTTGAGCTAAAAATTTGAACTGTTCTTTTGTTTTTAACCTCCCGAAAGCAACCACTTGACAGATAATAGAGCAGAAATTGGATAATAAAGTGTTGTAACATTATTGCATTCCTAACTAGTACAAAAGATGGAAATTTCTCAATGGCAAATACCAGATTTTTACTCCAAATTAACTTTATGTACAAGTGAATAAAACATTAAAAATATGGGGTAAATGTCTGCAGTGACGAGGTGCTAATGATGCAAAATTCTGACCCAATAAGGTCTGAGCTCTTGTACGTGTAAGTGACCCTCTCTCCCACCTGGGCTTGACATTTTGGGTGGTAGCTTACAGGAGGTTCACCTGTATTATATACAGTAGTTGCTTTGTGGTATAAACTTAATAAATTAATTGTTAAGCATAGAGACAAAAGAGTCATCTTTGAAACTGGAGAAACCATAAGAAGTACATTTAAGGCAAAAAAACTTGTAAAAGTAATTATTTAACTGCAAAACATAGCGTAATTTGCATGAGCTTGTTACTAAAGAATGTGTTTGTGCATCAAGAATGAATTAAAATTTGGAGTGTTCATGTTATTGGAGGGAGGAAAAGCAAGGGAAAGTAAGGATGAGAACCAACAAACCTAATCCAGTTTCTGTATGATACTGGGTCCAGTATTCTAACCCAAGCAGATAGATGGAGGACAAGCAGTCTAACTGTGCCAACCCTGCTATGCAGGCTGCCGATGAGTGCTCGCACAGCAATAACAAGCAGTAACAAGCAATAACCTTCACCTTTTTACCCCCAAGGTAATTAAAGAATCAAGACAGTGTCTCTTTCATCACTCTGATACACATGACCCACCTCATTGGCTTTTATCATTTTTTTCTCTGGAGAAATCAGATACACTCATTGCCAAAATAACTCACAATAGGCAGTAATTGTACAATCATGTAAATGTATCATTACCTTAGGGGCAGTAGGGATGGCTATTTTGATTGGCTGCTTTGATTTTCTGTCCCATGCTGTGGATACTTTACTTTCCAAATTTTTCTGCCAAGTGTTTTCAGCTTGCCAAGGGGTTGGTAGAAGTGAAAATAAGCTGCCCACAGACTTGGGTTTATTATCAGCTTCACTCTTTGTAACCTTCTTTGCTCTCTTCGCAATAGGCTCGTACTCTTCTTCTATTTCCAGAATTTCTTCATCCTCAAGCATTGCTTCTAAGCCATCAGGGGTCGTTTTATTACCAGGGATGGTTTGTCCACTCCTATTTTCTTTCTCGATGTTGCTCACATTTTTGGGTTTTGGAAGAATTGAGGACAAAGCGCTTTTTCGATCAGATGAACACGACAATTTACTCGTTTGCTTCGGCGATGGCAGAACCAAACCCTTGGCTTCAACTGGAACTTTTCCTTCTGTAGTCAACAGAGGCTTTTTGATATCATCTTGATGATTTTGGACGTCTTCATCACTTTCCTCGTCACTGCTACCGTATGCAACAAGTGACATCTTGCCAATTCTACAAACGCCTCGAGTTTTCAGCAGTCGGAAGGGGCAAAAAGAATACTTCTTTTAAACTTCCTTGATATAGTTTTTTATCTTTTTCAATGCTTGAGCCATGCAATCGGAGAAATCCTTTCAGCGTTTTTGAGCGCTCTTGCTGTCAGCATCGCCGCCATGTTTGTTGATTCCTAGTGCCCAGGAATGCGCAGAGATAGGATTCGTGCCCAGATCACAGGCGGCCCAAACGTT